TATATATATATATATACACAAATATATATATATATACACTGAGTGGCCAGATTATTATGACCACCCCATCAGTACTTCGCTGGGCCACCTTTTGCCTTCAATACTCTGGCGATTCTTCTTGGCATTGACTCCACGAGATGTTGAGAGGTGATGCAAGGAAGCTGGCACCATGTCTGTCCAGCATAGCACTGTCCAGATAGAATAGCACCAATACACCCCAAACTAAAAAGGTTTAGGGCTAAGTTCCATGTTTAATATTTTTTAACCAGTAGCTGGTGCTTAAAATTAACTACAGATGTACAGGCATAAAAATAAGCCACTTTTATAATCTTTCCTTTGCTTTTTTATTTCTCAATCTAAGAAATGCTCATTCTAAATCCTATAAATTTAGTTTTGAGGATTTTGTTATATAATAGTCTAAATATCTTAAATTCTCTGAGAATCCTTAACCATCACTGTTCTACAGCCTTTAATGAAATTAATGAAATCTGGAATTAAAGGACGGATCACACAAGCTATAGCTGCCGGGCCAGCGTTTTCACACTGTGCCACAGTGACTCCTAGTGGATTTTGGCCATGATGACATATATTGTCTGCATTTATTAATAAGTGCGTAAACATAATTTTCTGAAAATGAGACTTGTGGTAATCATTTGTGATTTTTACCTTAGTTTCTTTACCGGGAAATCATGTAATACGTCTAACAGCTATTATCCATTTTTGCTTATTTCCCTTTTATTGTAAGTTCAGAGACATGAAAGAGACGATATACGTGTTGCACATTTCTTTCTAGTCTTTGCATTTCCAAGTAAGAGGGCATCACTTAAATGTACTATTGAGTTATGCTTAGGAAAAAAAAAGTTACAAAATTATTTAGAATATATAGATGTAGAAAGTATACCAGTATGTAAGACCAACCACTGAAATCTCAAATGAGCTTTAACATGTAAGTTATTTTAAAAAGCAATTTTCAATATATGTAAATCTGCAGCTTTTATTAAAGTACCAGTTGATCCTGTCATGAAGGTCTTTGTGCGGACCGTTCTTGTTACAGTGCGACAGTGCTCTGTCTCCCGATTGTTCTCATATATTGCCAGATTATATTGCCACATTATACAAGCATGGGCCACTGCTGTCACCACCAGGAAACCCACCCTGCTGGTAATTCCTCACATTTTCATAGTAAGAAGGGAAAATAGGTTTATTTCTCAGGGCTTTAAATCTTATTACTAACTAATAAAAATTGCAGGCAAAAGCACATAAAAATCAAGTATATTAAATGCTTACTTGTAGTGTTTTTCCTTTCGATAAACAAGTTTTAATTCACTTGAACTTGCTGGGGAATTCGACCACTGCAGGAAGAGTCGATTCTCTGGTACAGTCAGTTTCCCCTCTCTCCTGGGAGTGTCTAATTAAAAGTGAACTATGGGGTTAGGGCTTTTCCCCATAGTTCTCCTTAGGGTAACGGGAGGACACAAACTAGCGTCCTCCCGTCACCCTAGGCTCAGCTTTTGGATGTCTACACAAGTGAAGATTTTACAGGTAAAAAAGATACATAAAAAATACATCAAATGCACATATAATTTTATGCAAAATGTTTCTTTGAAATGAATGGTCTAGCAGCAAGGTCTCATTAGACAAGTGTAAGAATCTTTATTTTTCAACCATGTGGCTGTCATTTTCAAATCTCTTTGGACTTTTTTGAAAATAAGCATTCTTACCATTGTGTGTTAGTTTTGTGATCTGAGCCTCATATTATATCCATACAATGAGAGAAATAACATAGAGCTGTGCCAACAGTAGCTGTATGGCTTAGATAACATCACTCATCATTTTATTTCTACCTCAGCTTAGGAACAATGGGGTGTTGTATTGATTAAAGTATAGTACATACAGAATTAGAAATTGCCTATTTGCTCATCCACCACTTAGGTATGTTCCTTAGTTTCACAAACATAGACAATCAATATAACATGTACATTTTTAGCGGGCTGATCTAATAATAAGCTCAAAGCCCAAGTATGGCAGCACCAATGTCACCAAGGTTTTTTTTGCACTATTATTTTTCTTTTATTCAAATATAGTATATACTTCTCAGTGGTTTTTTTAGATGCACCACCTTGATATATTTAATCTTATCATTATGTGCCAATGTTTTTAAAAACAATATATATTCTACGCCTAATATGTAATTAGATATGAACATGAGGGCATCTACTGTATATGTGTTCAATACAAAAGCAGAGTCTGCATCCTGCTTTCTAGTGCGACACAATGGTTGTGCTTTACTGCTGGCTTTCGCAATGCCAGTCTGATTCAGGCGACACACTGAAAACATAACACTCCCTGTGCAGTTGATATATTATAACATCAATTGTTGGTCAAGTTATTTTAGCAACTAATCTACACTGTCCCTTTAGCTGACCATACATACAGCAATTTTAAAGAGCATTCAAACTGTCTGTGTCATTCAGTTGAAACTACAACACAATCAAATACATAAAATAGTGGTTTTGATCTCAAGTTGATACAATTATATTTGTCCCAATCAAACGCATTGGGTGCCATAGTTATTTGTTTCCCTTTATTGATTTAATCTTTTAATAAACTGTATTTCAGCTCTCAGTTTATTATTCAACTGAATTCTGGTGGCCAATCAAATATGTTAGTGGTAGATTGCTCTGTGTCTGAGTACTTGCGAATGTATTCGCACAAGAATTTTGTTTAAATTGAATAAAAATTAACTTGCATGTGACAAGGTTTATGGATAATTTACAAATCTCTGCCGTTATTACAATAGCAAAATAATCAAGAGCAAACGTACAAATGTGAATGTTACTAAACACAGCAATAACTCAAAATCTGTGCTCACCGAAAAAAAAAAATTCCTTTTCTTTAACGATTGGAATTAGTGAGCAGCTGTGTGCAAAAAAAGTTCTCAGTGACGCTTGTAGAGATTTTTTAGCATGCTTATGAATCTTTGTGCCACCCCTTCCAAAAAAAAAAAAGCAGGAGAAGTCATGGCGTGAACTTGAGGCCTAATTCATTCCTCTGAGTTAGCTTTGCGTGAAGGTGGGCATGGGGCAGCAGTGAACTTGAAACCATGTCACTGTATATTGACTCCACACTTCCCTATGTTTATGTTTCTTTATACAGCTGACACCATAAATCACAGGAGGTCTTTAGTTTGGACACACAAAACTGTTTTATTGAAGCTGTTTTTCAATTAGTATAATTGCCCTCACTGATGTTCCCAGCATTGATTGGGACAAAGGTTGACTTGACCTGGCTAATGAAAATGAAACAGATGTTCAATGTTATTTATATCTAGGCAGCTGGCCTGTTTAGTATGTAAAAGGATGGCACAGTCAGGCAGATGGAAACTCTAATAAATTATATTAACCTATTCTAGTTCTCAGAAGAACACAGCCATGGTATATGTATATGACAGCTAGAATAGATTACATAATTACAAGTATAGTTCCATTTCTACTAAAGAGCAGACCCTGGAGGTCTGTTTTGTAAAATATAACTTTTCTAAGATGTACATAATGCCACCAACATCAGAAAGTCAACCATGAATATTACAGCTGACTCATCTACCTTTCCTCCCCTTCCAATGGTAAAATATATAAACAGCCGTTTCTACCCATGCACCATGTTGCATCCACACACATAGAGGGGATGCATTGAATGTCTGAATTGAATGTGGATATTACAATCATACATCTGCCCAGTATTCTGCACTCCAGTAATGTATTTCTGCATGTATCCCTGAGCAGGAAGATCTGTGTGTTTTTGGTAGTCTCATTTTGAAGCCAGTGATATAAGTGCAGTACAGAAAGAGAGGGCATGGCCTAGAAGACAGCCTGTAGTGTGCATGTGAATTGCATGAAGGAACTGCTTCGTAGTCAAATGTCACTTTAAAAGAAAGCCTGTGCTGATAAAATAAGGAGGCTGCCATTAATAAGTAAACTCCCCTCCTGGAAATTCTAGTTCCTTGGCTGTCAAGCTAATTAATTGTCTTCTGTACATTGTGAGTCACTGGGGTTGATTTACTAACCTTATAAACACGCCACGAACAAGTATACACCTCTGTAGCGTGTTCCCTCCCAGCATGATCTATTGGTGGAATCTAGACACCTTTGTAGTGTGTACACACCCAGCAGGTGTGTTGTGCAAAGCCCTGCATGAATTGCAAGGTGATGTTGTGTAAATTAGCTCTACGTTGTGTTGCTTGCGTTGATGAATGCAGGAATGTAAATGCATGAGCTAACCATTTTTGTCTAAACTGTGAAGCAGCATTATATATGCATCATGTGCATGATTTTTCCATATATGGCATTAGTGGAAATATGCTTTTAGAGACTTTTTGCCTGATAAATACGTTTTGCTGTGTAAAAATCACACGCACCTGGTGCGTGCGTGTGTTTAGGTTAGTAAATCACCCACACTGACTTACTACTAGTACTGAAGTTAGAGTAGAATACAGCTCCACATGCAATCCAGAATACACTCCATGGAGGCAATTCAGGTGACAGGCATTGGCTTTGTTGGAATATGAATCTTATTTTTTAGGGAACACACTACACAAACACAGATGTATAAAAGTTTTATCTTTATTTAATAGCCATCAGGAACTACAGTATATGAGGCATTTCACACTAGGGACACCTCTATCTAAAGAAACATCATTGAGAAAGTGATGTGCCTGCCACAAAACATGTCAGATCGGTACTGCTGGCTATTCACTTTGAATTTTGTTGCTATTGGAACAATTGTTCCAGGTTAGTTACTCAAAATATTGGTCCATCACTATGATGGTTTGCCACTTGGACTTTATTTGCTACATGATTATTGCAGATTAGTAACTCAAAATATTGGTCCACCACTATGATGGGTGGCTTCACTGGCCAATAGTAATGTGTGGAAGGGGGTGAAGAAACATTGGAACTATCAGGAAGTGCCTAAGCTTTCCCTGATCAGAATTGGCAGGTATCTGGGCAAATTAGAAGCAATAATAGATGTGCAGATGCCTTCGCTTTAATTTTTCCTTAATATAGTAAAAAAATAAAACCCCCAGTGGTGAATAAATACCACCAAAAGAAAGCTCTATCTGTCCCCAAAAAAGGGTATAAAATTCATTTCAGTACAGCGCTGCATGACGGAATAAATGTCAGTTAAAGTACCGCAGCGCTGAATACTGAAAAATGGCCTGGATGGGAAGGGGGTTTAACACCGCGGATGTCAACTGGTTAAGGTATAAGTACATAGCAGAGTTATCTGCATATGTTTAAGCAAAAGCATTGACCAGGATATCCACAGAGTTTCTGTAAAACTTGTCTGAGTTGGAGAAAAATTTAAAGCTGCTCTATGAACTTTAAAAGTTGGCTTTGGAAACTGTGCCAATGTTCTGGTCCATGCCTCTAGCTTAAGCATATGCTTGTGTGTATGCCATGAAGCTATTAAGGTAAGTAATCGTCTCTATTCGATCTCCCTAGACAAAACGAGCATTACCATTTGCACATACTGGTGAAGGGGACACATTTAATTGTTTTTGCTGGCCGGAGTTCTGCTTTAACTGATAAGACAAAAGTAAACTAACATGATTGATACCGACTCTGTGAATCAACTAAAGAAACAGTCTTTTAGTGTTTGCTTTCAGGAAATGTGCTTCAAATGTTTATTGAAATACTGTTTTCTTTTTTTGGCTTTGAAGTGTTGCTTTTTCATAACCTTTATAATTACCTATAACAATGTATCATTTGAGGTTTGACCATTTTATGCAATAAATATTATGGCAAATTTTCATTTACATTATTTTCAGACACAGTGTTGTTGAGCTTCTTAAGGGCTCTGGTTTTTATCTCTCCATTTTGTCCAATGATTACAAATCCCCACATTATGGTAAAGTTCAGTAAAATGTAGACACTTAATATTATTATGGGCATAGCTCTAGTCCCAAATGTCTGTTTGCTTTATTTCCAATTTATATTTGTATTTTTCATTTGTTAATATTTTATAGATTGTTCTCATTCCTGATTTGTGGTGATTGAGAATCTGTATTTTCATAACTTAATGTTGCCGTGCCCTTTTTTTCATCAAACAATTTTTTAGAAAACCATACACTGAGAGGGGGAGTTATCAAAACTAGAGCAGACAAAATGTGGAGCAGCTGTGCATGGCAGCCAATCAGATGCTCTCTTTCATTTTCAAATCTTAACTAAACAAACTGAAGAGAGAAGCTGATTGGTTGTCATGGGCAACTGCTCCAGATTCTGTCTGCTCCAGTTTTGATAAATTCCCCCCTGTGTGTATCAACCAAAAAAAGTCTAACATTGATCAACTGCTCCATGTACTACCAGGGCTTTGTTAAAGTTTACACTGTCCAAGGCAAATATTAACGATGGTGCCGTTGTATAGGCTTCAGCTGTTCTCTGGTAAAGCGTAGCTTACTATACTCCTTCCTGCTCACAGTATAAGATAAGATAAGGCCTGAAAGTCAAAATAAATATAGAATGTGAAAACGTCTTTACAGTTGTTGGGGCAGAGTTGCACTTCTGGAGGCGTGGATGCATGTGGTAGTAGAGAAGCCCTCAAAAACTAAAATAGCAGTTTTAGATGGATTGAAGCTATAGCTTGGAATATCATTAACAAAAGCACTAGAATTGGCTTATAACCTCATTACAACGTCATAAGAGAGTATTTTTGGACTCCTTGTTTGTTGCCTCCTTGAGAAGGTGGGACAAAGTGGTTTCCTTTATTATGGGTGTGTGAATGAAAAATAAAAATTGAGTGTGCATTTCCACAAAACTTCAGGTATGATCTGCATAGAATAAAAAAGTTCTTTGTTTTTTGCTGTTTCTGCAGAATTCAACCCCCGTTTTGTTCACACCAGACAAGCCCGCTCCCTGGCTGTTGAATTTGAAGGGGAAGTTTATGACATCAATTTAGAAGATGAAGAGAATGTAGAGCCCCCAAAGACAAGAGTCATCGCCAAGAGACATTACGCTTCCGAAGAAGAAGTGGGAGAGGATATTGATGATGATGATGAAGAAGAGGAGGATGACACATTTACTTCCCCTAATGAGGATGATGACGTCATGTTGGCTGATGGCGTGATGGGGATCATTCAATCTGCATCTGTTAAAGTCACGCATAAGTAAGCAGCTGGCGGCCTTCATTTTGCCAGGATTTGCAGATTTTGAAATTAACATAATTTGCAAATATGTATGTCTTGCTATAAGGGTATCCCCACACATCTTAGAATAATCTTTTGTTCAGTTCAATTCTCATGAAACGAGCAAAAAAAATAATTTGGATATTTGTTCATACAGTACAACTTCTACAACATTCTTAAAAGCAATGTTATTTGAGCAGTTCATCTGAGTAGCCATTATTTAGGTGGAGAGTTATGTCAGGCCATAATAATGGTTATAGATTTCCATGTACATTGTTCAAAACAGAAGCTACAGATAAGTAGTCTTTAGGTGGACTTGCCTTCTTCATTCCATATATTTAAAGTGCCCAGAGTATCATCTTGTTATAATTTTCCTAGTTATCCTATAATTAGTATATGTAACTGCCATGTGTATTCTACTGGTGATACAGTGCAGTATACTACTACTAAGAATCATATTAAATTACTTATATAGGTTTTTGCATGTTTAAGTTTACTGTGTATTGAATATTGGCTAGACAGGTATACATGGTCATTTAACCTTTTGTCTGCCTTAGGTGTTATATTCTGACCAATGATACGGTGCACTGCGAGAGGGAATTATACCATTCAAACAAAGCCTGGAAGGACCACAAAGCTTATATTGACAAAGAGGTAATGTGATCACTCCTGGCTCTCATTCCTTTATGTATGTACAAGACATCAACTTAATGTTACATGAGATAATGATAGAAAATTACAGAAGGACAGTGTCTCTGATGCTCCCAGTGGCCAATCAGATTTTAGCAGTACTTCTCTATGAATGTAAGAAAGCAAAGGCAAATATAGAATGATTCATACAAGCAACACAGACACTACATTTCTATTTTGTTTTCAGTCCCAACCTTCTTTTTAAAAAAACACCCATTTGCTGTGCCCAATCAAGGAGGGGATTAAAAGAATTTCTCCATTAAGCCGTGGAAAGTAGTTAATCTTTATAAATGTCCATTTAATTGGCACAACAAACCCAGTTTGAGGTGTATGAATATTAATGCATATGCACTCTTCTGCATTTCAGATTGAAGCTCTACAGGATAAAATTAAGAATTTAAGAGAAGTAAGAGGACATCTGAAAAGGAGGAAACCAGATGATTGTGACTGCAGCAAGCCTGGGTGAGTGAGACATACTGCTGGGTAATTTAACACATTTCATTTTCTATGGTATGGTGCACATATGTGACAAGGATGTGAAGGTGATGCTGCAATAGATGTGGACAATATATAGGTGACTACACATCCGTCCATCCTTGAAACAACGATATTATACCTGTATTTGATGCAGTAGCAGTAAAAGAAGTTTCTTTTTAAAGATGAAGTGTCTTTTTCTTCCTATAGACAGTATTCACTAAAGCATTGGAAAGGACAATAAGAATATCCATTATAATATCCAGTAACAGCCAATCACATTTAAATTCACTTTAATCAGTTTAGTTAAGATGATATCTAAATGGTTGCTAGTACGCTGATCAAGGGTTAAATCACTGACAAAGTAGCTGGATTATCAATATATATGTATGTATATTTTGTGTTAAATTCTATTCACTTTTTCCCCAGATTTTACAAGAAAGATAAAGGCGGGAAGGTTCAAGACAAGATAAAGAGTCATATTCATCCATTCAAGTAAAACAGTTCATTCTAATTTTAAACTTATGTAGAAGTATTCCAATCATATTTCTTCTTTTGGGGTAATGCAGATAATTGTAATAATAATAAGGTTTGGCAACGCTCTTTTGTACCATTAGGATTAGACATATTTTTCAGTATATTTTTCTTTGTGGTATTTTGATTGCAAAATATATGCTGGTGATCATATTTACCAAATAGTAAACACAACTACATAAAAAGTTGGTTGCAGGGCTCATTTCTCAACCTCAAGTGATATATATCATCCCAAAGCTTCAATGCCCGTAGTTGCCACACAATGACTTCATTTAGGTAACTATGATGATGTCATCAGCTTCAGTGCTGTGAAATAACTGCAAAGTGAACAGACTCTCTGATGTGGAGTCTTAGAAACAGGGTCCCTGGTAGGTGACAAGGTCCAAGTTGTTGGGGGACCATAAGACACTAGGTGCCACCATCCTTCTGACATGACTGGTCTTGTCTTTCACACGTGGTCCTAGACTGGTTATTGTGAATGTTATGGCAATTCTTTTTATCAAGGGATGCAAACTTATCCCGAATGATTACTAATAAATGGATAGCTGCACTTCTGTGCAAATAATACAAGGACATGAAATATTAACAGAGAGCCTGGTTTTCCTTGCTCAAAGATAGGCCTGGGTATTTTTGGGAGTGCACAGAAAGGTCTAGCACAAAAACTAGCTGCAACATTCTCTATGGTTTTATTACAAATATTTTAACAGTATCTCCAAAACCTCTTATTATTTTACCACTATATAAATACCTTAAAGGTGAATTCCAGCCTTACCTTTAGTCTTGCACAGTTGCAGAGGCTCCTCTCCTGTACTGAAATTGCTTACTCGTCATTGCATACTCATTGATTTTATAGCACACTGTGAGCTTCTTACAGTGTACATTATAAGCTGCAGCAAGTCATTGTGCTGGCTGGAAAATATTCATCCGATTTAAATTTTTTCAACATGGAAGGCTCAGCATCACATCTTGGTATTGCCTAGAGCAGTGGTTCTCAACTCGTGGGTCGCGACCCAAAAGTGGGTCGCGACACCCTCTGCAGTGGGTCGCGGCGTCATGTCTGCATAGACCGGCCCATCTGCATTAGAGAGAACTAGAGGTGGAATTTGTGGTTCAGCCTGTGGAACCTCATAATGCCAAACTGTCCCCTCTCTCCCGGCCTCCCCCGGGCTCTCCGATAAAGTGGTATGGCCCGGGGAGAGAGGGGACTATTTCCTCACTTTCGGCCGGCGCATTAATATCAGGAGCCACGGCGCCCGACAATTAAGTTAAAGTTCCGGCCCGGCCTGCACTGGAGAGTACAGCAGATATCAATCCGCCGCTGTATGTAATGTACTCTCCAGTCCAGATAGTTCAGTCGGCTGGAATCAGAGAATTAGTCTGCCTGCAAATGCATCTTGCCTAGGATAGTCCAGACTCACTATGTCGAAGAGACCCTGTGTGGACCTGAAACATTGGATAAATTGATGCTTGTGACATGTTTCTTCAATTATTAAGCAACTTCAATGCTTTTGACTTAGTGCTGGTGATATCTGTCTTCTACACTCCTCCAGACTGACATCTACCCATGAACACATTTTGATACAGTAAACTCTCTGTTATCTGGTATTCAGCTAATTGGAACTCCCATCTAACCTGCAAAAAAACAAACAAACTCCCCTGTGTACTCACTGTTCTGCTCATCTGCCACCTTCTAGGAGAGGGAGAGAGAAAAAAAAAAAGTGCTGTGTTATCCTGGAAACGGGTGTCTGATCCATTTTTTGTGAAAGTTCTGTGTTATCCTTTGAACAAGTGCCACTCCTAGTACTGCAATGTATTGCTAATGGTTTAGAGTACAATATACTGTTATGGTATGGTATAGTATTGGGAATAGCATTAGTTAAACCTATTTTTAATAGTAACTCTCAAGCAACCAGAAACTACATTTATCCGGAATGTACCAACCCCAGTTTATGCCGGATAATGGGGAGTTTACTGTATTTGCATAACTCCTCTCAAAAGCCAATCCACTGCTTTCACTAGTACTGAGAGAAGTACTAAGGCAGGGTGCTGTAATGTTTTCAAGAAAGTATGTACTGCAGCCTACGGACAACTCCCACCTGCCATGATCTGCCTGCATTACATAGAGAAGCACAAAGATTTAGTATTGACCTCACTGAGTCTATAGGTGTGTCTTCAAATGGAAAGGTTTTATTTAAAAATTTCATTAGTATGTTGATGAGATGGAAAAGAGGAACCAGGGAAATTAACATATAAGCATATTCAACTTTAACTTTAACATTTCATCAGAGTTTGCGTCAACTATTAAATTATGAAATTAGAATTTTTGTTTTTATTAAGAAAGCTGATGCACCAAATTGATCTTCATGATGATTGGCTTGTGACCTATGTTGAGGCATCTAGACTTGTTTTTTTATCATTGTTACTTTTCCACATAGGGAAGGCGCTCAGGAGGTTGACAACAAGTTACAGATCTTTAAAGAGAACCGTAGAAGAAAGAAGGAGAAAAAGGAGAAGAAACGACAAAAGAAAGGAGAAGAATGCAGCCTTCCTGGACTCACCTGCTTCACTCATGACAACAACCACTGGCAGACAGCACCATTCTGGAACTGTAAGAACATGTTTATGACTACCCTGAAACCACATCCACCCTCATGCTTAATAGATAATATCTATTTGTATTAATCATTTTCAGCAATGTTTTAATACATCATTGATATACATGCTAGGGACATGTTTTGTGAGTGAACAGTAATATTTTTAAAAATGCACCTACCATAGGCCATCAATCCATTGATGATGTTCCTGTGGTTAATGGAATTTATTCTGTAATACTGGTCCAGCCCCCAAAGGGTCACTGAGTACTTGAAATGTACTCAGCTCCTTGAATTGTATGTCAGTCCTCGGGTTTAAACTTTAATTTGATTACTTGAACATGCTTTCCTGCTTGCATTTATAGCAGGTTATTTTCATATTCATATAATCAATAATTTAGCTTTTGTCTCAAACAATAGAATAATATATAGACAGTACAGCAGAGCTGAAAAGCATCTCGGAGCAATACACAATAAACAGCTGTGCCTCAATAAATACATCAACACCTGTCAGGTTTTACCGCAATTGAAATCTCCATTGGAGGGGTGCCTACTCTTCCTGTCTTGTGAAAAGGTTGCCCTGCCCCCCTTTC